AGCTATTTACACTGAGGTGGGGTACATTTCTCTGAAGGAAGGATGTCTTTTTAAAATTTACCTGCCAGCAATATTGTAATAAATGTATGGACTAGAGAGGTACTAGATTTATTGGGGCAAGTTATATAGCTCTCTAATCACTATACTGTACACCCAAAACTAAAATAATATTGTATCTGAACTCTAATTGAAAAATTAAAAATATTATACAAAAATTTACCTGTCGAGAGTGTGTACCTTCTTGAAATTTACACAGAGGCGTGGAATGTGCTAGCAGCGGCCCTGATGCTTGTATGCTCTGCAATTTTTAATAGAAGGCTTTCAGTATTTCACTGTTTAGTATGAGGAAGGCTGCTGGGCATGCTTGTTATCTGGAGTGGACTACCTGGATTCAAATACTGGTTCTGCCATTTGTTAGCTGTGTGAATTTGGGCACATGACACGGCCTCTCTGTGCTTCACTTTCAACATCTAACCACTTCATAGAGTAGTTAGGAGGATAAATGAATTCTTATATGAAAAACACTTAGACTAGAAGCTGAAACACAGACTGTTCAAAATGTTAGCTCTCTTTACTAATATCTTAACTCTGTGTTGAAACTTCAACAATTAACATCTGAATTCTACCTACAAATACCACTTTCCTTTAATGAATTTAATTGCACATTGAGGATATTTTTCTTTTTACTCCAGGCTTTTTTTTTTTTTTGCATGTATTTGTGTTAAATAACTAAAAAGCATTGTCTTTAAAGACATCGAAGAATTCCAGTTATTTAATTAGAAAGTCACTTGACTGTTTCTAGAATTTCCTCATAAAACTATTTGTCAGAAGTGACCAGAAGGCAATGAGGGCTATTTGTGTATTTTTGGCTTTTTTTCCTTCTTAGAGGAATGACTATATTGTATACCAGGGTCATGAGGTTAGAGATGCTTTGAGGTGCAGTGAATTTCATTGTCAATTTTAGTTAACATGATTCTTTAAAAAAAAAAAATTGGGACAAAATCTTTATGTAATATCAAAGTACAGATGTTTCACAATATTTTCAAGACAATTAACTTCGCATTTTAAAATGTTTAAAATATTTTGTTAAAAATCTAGTTTTGATATGAAGGACATGAGACAGAATGCTAAATCAATGAATGAGGCAGATGGTGATTTTGATTTTTCCCTTCTCTCCAAATCCTAACTTCTACACTGCTCTTAAGACAACTTAAATAGGCCCCTGGATTACCTGTGCTGTATACTTTCCAGTCTTCTACAGCATCTAACTCTTGGGCCATTTTCCATGGCACAAAACTGGAAGCATAGAAGGCTAATAATGCTACACACCACCGATTTCCAATATTTAAAATAATTTGGGTGTCTAATCCCAACTGAGTTATCCAAATAATTGAGATAGCCATCACTTTAATGAAATCTTTTCCAAGTAAACTACTTAGGAAGAGAGAAGCAATATTTTTATAATTTCATGGCATTAGGCATTAGTCTACCATTATTGCTGTGTGCATGCTGTGGTTATTCACCCAAAGAAGACTCCCTAAGCCAAAATCCTATGGATCCTGCACTATTTAGAAGCAACAAATAAGAGAATCTCATTATAAGCTTGTCAGGGGTGCGTAGGAGCTTCTAATGAAAGTGGCAAATTATAATTCATTTGTGAAATATAAATTGATCCTGCATGTTAAACTCAAGTTTAACTAGGTTTATAAGTACAAAGTGATTATAAGCTTGGTCCTAAACTGGTTGCAAAAGTTAAATATCCATTTAAGGTAAGAACTGATATTTCAAGATTCTTACATTCAGATAGGGAGCAGAATATTTTAAGGCACTTTGTATCAATCAGTGTATCTTTTAATTTTTTCTTTTTGGTACCAGGGTGGTAGCTGAGAGTTCAGGTTTGGGGCTGAACTCTCACCCTACTGTTTACTAATTGTGTAATTTATAGCAAGTCAGTGAATGTCTCTAATCCTCCATTTTTTCTTTTTAAAATGAGGGTAATCATAACTCTCAGCATTGTGGTGAAGATCAGAAGTGCTTTGAGTGGAAAGCACTTCATACAGAACAAAGCAAGTGCTCAATGCTTTCTGATAGTGGCTGTTATTGTAGATATTTTCTTTTTAAAAAGATCTGTTATTGCATTGTGTCAGGAAATGATTGCTTAAGTGTTTAAACAGTGACAATTACATTGTCTAGTGTTTTAGGGCAAACGTATTTCTGCTACTTTGTGATTTTTTTCACAATAATATTGCATTTTAAAATTTCTGGACTTCCTAGAGAATGCACCATCTCTTATATTTTTGTTCTATTGCAAAATGTGTTAAAAGTTCCAAACAACAGACATAGAAATGAACTCTTGGGGCAGCTCTGTATAGTTAATTATTTGCTCATTCGTTCTTCAGCCAAACCATTAGTTCTTTCACCAGTCATCACTGAGGAATATTGAGAGCTATTTCTTAATTATGTTAATCATCTCCTGACCAGACTCCAGTTCTTCAGGTTCTTAGGTACCCTAAAATCTCCTCCTCTTAAATTGCAGTGCCTTTCTTAAGCCAATATTTGGGCCAATTCTTTTTCAAATCAGTTTATGTCAGTTGATGTACAACAAGCATTTTGAATAGCCCCCTATGAACATTAGTGAGACGAATTGTGAGGTATTTCCAACATCCTCTTGTATTGCTCTATTTAAAGATATTTTTGTAATATTCTATTTATGGTTTTTTAAGGCACATGAGTTTATAGAACTCTATTCAATGGTTTGATAAGACTCTGGTTTGTTTTAGTAACTGTTTATGTTTAGTATCAGATACTACTGGGTAACTATACTTACTAAAAGACAGTATATTTTGTAGAATATAAAATGGTAATGTACATGAGTGATGTTGTATTTTGTTCTGAACCCTTTTGTTTAAGCTTCAGCATGCACAGCAGGTCTGAATTCCCTGATAACAGCTGTTACCATGGCTGCATCTTATTTCATATTTCATTTGTTTAACTGATGCTTGATAAGAGAAACAGCATTGAATTGTCTGCAATTTTGAATCTAAATAGAAATATTTTCTCTTTTTTTTTTTCCTTACAAAGGTAAAATTAGGAAACTGGAGTTAAAAATCCAAGCCCTGTATTCTTAAATTAGGGTTGACTGTGGACTTTGAGACTCTTACCCTACCGCCAACTGAAAAGCTCTGGCCCTGCCCTCAAGGACAGAGATCAGAAGATGGATTAACTCAAATAATGAAATGTCAACTCAACTTTTTTAAAAAATTGGGTTTCTTCTTTTAGATTAGTCTGTAGGCGGTGAATGAAGCCTTGGATTTTTATTATGGCTTTTACAGTAGGCTCATATCTTATGTTCCATAGAGTCTTATCAAACCACAGAAACAAATGTGTTTTAAAAACTCGTTGATCCAAATAAAGTGAAAAATATCTTTTGAAATGTAATTTCTCCCTGAAGTAAAAATTGAGACATATGATCTACAAAGAGGATAGCTCTGAGGCTCTGTGGAAAGCAGTACTCGTAGTGGTTACAAATACTGACACTGGAGCGAAATGACCTGACTTTACCTGCTGGCTCCTTATGTGACCTTGGACACCTCTCTGTGCTTGTTTCCTCATCCATAAAATGAAAATATCAATAGTACCTTTTCTCATTGGATTGCTGTGAGAATTCAGCTTCTCAAATGTGGTGAGCGCTATATGAGTATTTTTATAAGAATCCCTTTTTCACATTAATGCGGCTTAAAAGTCCCAGAACTATTATTTTTTAGGGACAAGATAGAAGCTGTTTTATTTTTCTCTAAGGCACAGTGTTTTGGCATTTCCTTAATTTTGTTTGGTGTCATAAAAGCAAATGAGTAAAGTAATTGGAACTGAACAAATTCAGTTCGTTATTCAGAGCATCGGAGTTCTGTCGTCTGAGAAAACTTTTACTAAATTGTAATACAGAGTGCTTTTAAAGATGCAGGATTTTAATACCTTGGAGATCAAAATCTATATTCAGGATGGTCTTGTACCAAACACTGCATATATAAACTCTATACCAAGCTTTGTACATTGTTCAAACTCAGTGGGTAAAGTTTATTGTATGTAAATTTATCTCAATAAAACTGCTTTTTAATTTTATTATTATTATTATGTGTGTCAGAGGCCAGGATGGTGCCTGGCACATGGTGCTCAGAAAACCTGACCACAGACTGACTTATTAGTTAACTGAATGAAATACTTTGTAACACATGGAGTTTTTGTTTGTTTGTTTGTTTGTTTGTTTTTAATCTTTGAAAAGGCAGACTTTCCTATGCAATGTTTTTGTCCTTGAAAAACTGCTTTTTTTAAAAGCTAAATTTATGGTGGTGAGAATGTAGTAGGCATTCATTAAATATTTTTGACTACATTAATAATTAAGTGGATGAATGAATGGTCAATTCATTCTTCAGAGATGGTCAAATTTATGTCCTTGCTTTTGAAACTTTACATTAACCTCTAAAAATCCAATTTAATTGTAAAAACTTTACATTAACCTCTAAATGTCCAATTTAACTGTAAACTCTCTCACATGCTTTGAAGGCCCACTCTCCCAGCAACTTACTGGTTTTTCAGATATACCTTGTAAATGAAGTCAGGGGTCACACTTGGTCCTATGTCTGTTGGGGCTTATATAGTTCTCTTAAGTATGGTCTTATGTTTTTATCTGTGTTGTCTGATGTATAACCATGCAATTTAGTCCTTAAAGATAAACATTTTGATATAGTGACCAAAGCTGTTTTTAAGATTTGAGACATTTACCCAAAATAAACCCTTTTTGTTCTTTCTACAAATAGCAGCTGGTTTCCCAGACTTGGAATTTGGTCCTCTGTTGAGAAACCCTAGCCACCTATAAGTTAAATGTAACAGTAGATCATATAGGTGAGCCAACATGGACTTTTCCCATTGGCTGTTAGCATGAGGAGCTTATCTGAGTTTCTATAAGGTGTTTGATTCTGATTTCTTATTGTATTTTCTTCCAGGTATGGCAGCAGCCAAACTTCTGCATGATAATGGCTTGAATGTGGTTGTTTTGGAAGCCCGGGACCGTGTAGGAGGCAGGACCTATACCATTAGGGTAAGACATTAAGGATGGGGCAGAGAAATATAAGGCTGAATTTTTTCTTTTTCTTGCTGAAAGCCTTGAATTTCATTGGACTCTTTGTAAGAGAGTGAAAATTACTCTGAAACATTTCCCACAGCTTCTATCCCAACTTGTTTCCTTTTCAACTTTTTCTTCTGTCCCTTTTCTCTTTTCACTTCATGACACTTGGTACTTGCCCAGTAAATTATTGCACCAATAAATAGGTATCTGAAATACATCAGTGAATAAAACAAAATACCCTTGTGAAACTCATGTTCTCTTTGGGGTGGAGGGAGCAAGACAATGAATAAACAAACAAACAAACAAACAAGAAACAGAAAAGGAGGGCCTTCTCTGGTGTTCCTGACTAATAGATACCCAATTATGTTTAGACACATTCAGATATAGGGAGCTTTTCTACTCACTTCTTGTTCAAAGGTCGGTCCTTAGTCATTGGATGTGAAGCTGATTCAAAACCATATAGAAAACTTGCTATTAAACATAAGAGCAATTTCAAAGGTTTGAATTATGACCAGTTATTCCCTGACATTATCTTTCAAACATCTGGATTAGTAAACCACATAAGAAGTGATTATTTCCTTTCTTGTTTTCTATCTAGCATTAGGTGCCTAAAAATTAGCCTCAAGTACTAAGTAAAGAGAAATTCACCAACAATTCATAGCTTATAAACTCAAGGCACTAAAACACAAGCCATGTTGTGGTACATTGTGAATGATGGGGTTCAGAAGTCTCTTGCCTATACAAAGTTCAATCAATTTTGCTTTAAATTAACTGTTACGTTGCATGAATGGAGTTAAGAATAGAATCCAATTTTTCATGAATATACCTCAAGACGTGTCTACAACCTGTTAAATGCCAATCAGCTTATTTTGGAACTCTTTTTAATCTTAGGAATGACATCGTCACACCTAATTATTTTTATTATTTTTCCATGGGAAAACAGAACCAAATGGTTAAATATGTGGACCTTGGAGGATCCTATGTTGGGCCAACCCAGAATCGTATCTTAAGGTTAGCCAAGGACCTGGGATTGGAGACCTACAAAGTGAATGAAATAGAGTGTCTGATCCACCACGTAAAGGTAAGCCTGGGCCAGCCTTTGAAGGATTTGAAGGCTACTCTGTGGGTATTTCCACATATGAATTCCAGATTGTTCTTTCAGAGAAACTTTTGCATCCGTGAATGATGCATATGCATATGTATTTTATAAGGGTATTTCAGCCACTCTGAGAATTTTTTCACTGTTTATCAAAGTAGAATTAGGTGAGAATTCTAAACCTGTTCAGGAAAGTAATTGATGAAGTAGTATTACCTATTTGGTAAAAAGTTTAACAAAACTAATAGAGAAAAAACATTTGTGATTAATTTACTGAGTACTTTGAGCTCTTTCATGTGATACAAAAAAACTTATGTACAGTTTTACAAATACTTCCCTAGACTTCACATTATAAAAAGTATTTGCAACATGTCCAATGTAATATTTTGAAATTTTATCAAAATGTCAAAATTTTATCAAAATATATCAGCTAAAGTGACTTTTCTTTGGATATTTACATAAAAGTGGCTCAAGTCCCAAATTCCATTTTTTTTTGTGTGTGTGTGGGGAAGCTCCATTGATCTCCCCAAGATTTCTGTGAGTTTACTAGGTTTCACATTCCCATGATTAGTTGTGGTTATGGTTCCTGATCTATAACACCTATGCTCATTCACATCTTCACACTCTTTTCTTTCTTTTATTCTGTGCCAACCTAGGTTCAAACTCACCTCTCTGTTGTTATTTTCCTCAAACCATCCAGTCAGGCAGACTCGACTGGAGTTCTGAGCAGTGGGGATTGGAGGAGTTAATTGTAGAAACACAAACAGCTTAGAATTGAATAGTGAACATTCTAATTCTAATAAGCCCTTAGACCTGTACACCCCTGGGTATTTCTCACTGGCTACATTTCTCTGTGGATTCCAGTCTCCCACCATGTTGCCAGTCTTCAGATTTCTTTCACATCTGCCTGATCCTTGTTTTGCCAGAAGCATCGTCTTTGTCAGAAAAGTCACTGATGTTCTCTGACAAGCAGAGTCACTCCCCCTCCAACCCCCCCACCCCCACCCAGTCTCACAGGAGAACTGGCAGAGGTTTTGAGTTTCAGTCTTTACTCTCTCCCTCACTTGCCTCTGTAGGTGGAAGTGAGCAGTATAAAGACATATTCCTCATCGATAGAAATCATCCCCTTAGAAGACAGAAGAAGCTAGCAACAGTTTGATTCACATAACAATTTTGACACAATTATATTATTTGTGAGTGATAATATAAAAAAGGACAAATAACAGATCATACATTATGAATCATTTAATAAAATAGTAAATACACATCTATCTAATTTGGCATAATTCAGGTAAAAGATTTTCTTAATTCATACATAAATATTTTGATTGAACTTTAGATTTTGCTTTATAAGCCTTTTCATTTTGCTTCTATGTGTCTAGGAGATAAAAAGACATTATTTAGAAATGAAAATGTTGCATGGTGATTGTGCAATTTGTTGAACATTAATCAGAAGAGCTTAATAAACATCCTTCATTGATTCCTTGCTTTTAAATGTAAGTCACATTGACTGATTTCTCCATTTTTCCTTGTCCTAACATGTAAGACTTACAAGGACTTACTTTTCAGAAAACTGAGATCCCTTTTAGGTTTCTTCAGACAAAGGCAATGACCAGAGATGGTATTCATTTTTCTGTCTTTGTGTATGCAGGGTTTCTTGGCAGTTAGGAGCTATGTTCAGGGTGTTTGTTTTTCTGGTAATCTCATGGCTGACATTAAGTTCTTTGTTTAAAAAAGATTGCTCACAATCATCGATTATGAAAATGATGTTACACAATAATTTTTCATAGTGGTGGCCAAACTGCGCTGCTTTCTTAGACTGTTTCAAATAATGTATGTGCATCTATGAAAATACAAATAATTAAGCAGTATCTTTGACTTGATGCAGAGTAAATACATATGCCAACAGTGCTCTTTGTAAAACTTAAAATAAATGTTATTGCTTTTTAATTACTACAAAAGTAAAGCATATTTATTGTAAAAATACAATTAGAAAATGTGAGTAAGGAAAAACTAAAAAATCCCCTCCATAATCCTATCTAGGGAAAATCACTCTAAAATATTTTCTTAGTTCATAGATTTTTCATATTCCTGTATTGCTATTTTCTGACCTCTGCTGGAGGAAATGAGGAATATCAATGCACTTAAAAATATATACATATGCATATGCCAACATGTTTCATATACTAATTTACTCTAATGAATTCTCACTAATGAGACAATTGAAATGCTAATGAGGATATGAAACAAAGATTTTTTTCAATCTTGATAGAAGTGCTAATTTAACCTCTTCGTGGCCATATCCAGTGAAGAGCTACTTGATAAGTAATGTCAAAGACCTTATAGCTAAGAAATTCTCCCCAAACTAAAACCTTTTTCTCTGCTATTGCATCCTCCATGTCTTTTCACACATGTCATTGTTCTCATTTTTAGTCAGTAAAAAACGTCTCAGATGGCTGCATCCATCTATGGAATTATTGACCAGAACTATGACATTTTATCTCCTACTATGTGCCAAAGAATGTAGTTTGGAAATTTATCTCCTTTTTCATGTAGGCAGTACTTTTGACATTTAGACATTATTCTCTATTACATATTTTAATAACTACTGTTCCCAAGTACAAACTATGGTTTATGCAAATATATAGTATATTTGTGACTTATTTCTTCAGCAGACCTGCATGTATTTCTTAACCCGAAGCCTGAGAGTATCAAGTGTGCTACTTTCCATATCATCCGATCCTGCTATTAGAATCAGCTTGTTCAAGAAATCTACATTTTAGATTTTGTTATATGATTATTGATGGAAGACAGGGTTATGCAGAGCATTAATAACATTAGGTTAAGGAACTTGGATTTGCTGGTTGGGATTAAAACTGATGAAATGAGCTACCCACAAAAGGGGTAGGGTACAGCAGCTCACGATAGGCTAGCTATCCAAATACAGGGCGTCTTTCTCAAGAAATGACTCCCCGTATCTCTAGTTCCGTGGTAGTTGTAGGAGAAATGGTCTGCTGATAGATGAGTGTGTTCATGCCAGCTCCATAACAGGAAACCCCTGGTGTACTGGGATGTGCAGGCCTGTTTACTGTCTGTCTCCCATCTGTTGGAAATGTTTATATCTACTGAGTGCATTCATTTTTAGTGCTACTGTCTTAAGTTGCTAAAATGTGGTTTTCCAAACCTTGTTGGTAAGTAAAGATGTGATACTAAGCTATATTGGAATTTAATTATCAGTGAGAAAAGTTATCACTTCAGCTCAAATCTGTATAATTTAGGTGTTTTCCTCACTTCTAAAATATTGATACAGCCGTTAGTGCTTAACAATTATTGTTAAGCATCTGCTAAAGTTTTTAATCTGTTTTACAGTCATGCTAATTTCTACTAGTATAGTTTAGAAGGCAGCTGTTTAGATGCCTTAAAAGTGACTTGTAAGAATTGTTCCCTTTCGAAGACTATCTCATAATCAAAAGAAAAAGACAAAAAATAAAAACTTCTTAAGAAACCTTGTTATATGTTGACTTATGCCTCTGCCTCTTTTATCTATTATATGCATGTGTGTTTGCATGCATACATGTGTGTGGTTGTTTTGTTGTTGTTTCTTTTTTTGTTCTTTTGGGTTTTTACTTGAAGAAGTTGGAGAAAATCTGAAGTTTGGTACACTTTAGATTTTAAGCAAATAAAGTTTCTCTGTCTCAGAAAATTTTATCAGTCTGAAATTTGAAACTAAATTGTAGTCAAAGTATGCATGAAACTGATTTAGGCCTGAAGGCCTAATCTGTTAAGAGTTCAGTAAATGTAAAAATGTAGCATGACTTACTATTAAGAGTTCAACTTCATGCTGATAATAATTTCCAAACTTCAGCTATCTGGAGAAACTGCAAAAAAACATGCTCTGGTATTAGTCTGCTTCCTAGTGGGCAGAATCCAAGCTCATTGTCAAAGTTCCTTTTTTTGTTGTATGCGGTCAGCCTCAATGCTTCAAGAGGCATCTGAATGAAGAGACATCTCATATATATTGCCTACTTGTTGCTACTACAATTGCTATTGCTCAAACAACCTCACAAAAGAGGCAGCATTTGGCACAGCCCCTCAGTTTGTTGAGAACTCTGAAGTGCAGTTGTAAATACAGTACACAAAAAAGCACATAAAAGGCAGAGGGTGGTGGAAACTAAATTTCTATTTACAAGACCAGTGAATTTCTTGGAAGAGATCACAGGTGCTAAACTGTCTCTCAGAACTGGGGAACAGCAACAAAATTGGAGCCAAAATATTGAGAAATAAAATATTCAAATCATCACTATATTTGGCAAACGGAAACTGTCCTGTCATGCAGGACCTCAGCATCTCACTGATAGCAGTAGACTAGAATATCCAATCTTCTTTGGGCTCTTAATACCCCCTTCTCCATGCCTCTACCTTCAACCCTGTTAATCCAAGGAAGCCTGGATCAAAGTCCAGGGTATACTTGCTTCTCTCATGATGACAAAAGTCTCCAGGAACAGGTTAGACAAACACTTGTATTTCACTCAGGAACAGCTGCCCATTTCACATGAACTTCACCCATGCCACACAGAGCTTCTTGGCTCCGAGAGTCTGCCCTAGCCAAGATGAGCTTTATGAACCTTCTCCTCACCCATTTAATTTCTTATTTGTTGGAAATACAGCTTATCATCATGGGAGATTTTTGTTTCCAAAAAAAAATGCAGAGAACAGTAATTTCCTCTTTAGCAAGTGAAACCCATTTGTATAGTGATCATTCTGAAGCTTATGTTAAATTATTCTGGAAATAAAAAGTATTAATTTGTGTTCTTTAGAAAATACAGGTGGATTTTTGGCATGTAATAATTTGCTGAAAATTATGCCTTCAATGGTTGGATTTGGAGCAATATTTTGGAATATGAGATGAATCTATTCTAGGCCACCAAGGTTTCCATTTGGAACTTAAAAGATGATAAAATCAGTAAATATCCTCTATGTACAAG